ATGTTCAAAATTATCGATCTTGGAACAAAGAAAACCAACACAGGTTTGTCGAAACAAGGACGCAATATCCACAGAAAGTAAATGTTTGGGCAGGGATATTCGGACACAATATTATCGGGCCATTATTTCTTACGCGAAATTTAAATGCAGAATATTAGTTGGAACTACTCGAAAATCATATTTTACCTGCTTTACATGATGCCGCTAGGGAAAATGAGGAAGTTTGGTACCAAATGGATGGCTGCCCGGCACATAGTAGCCTAGCTGTTCGGGAATATTTAGACAATAGTTTTAACGGAAACGTTATTGGCCTAAATCATACAGTAAATTGGCCAGCAAGGTCACATTTCACCAAATGATTTCTTTCTCTGGGGCCATTTAAAAAACATGATATACAAGGATAAAAAATACCCAAATTAGACGAGTTAAAAAAATGCTATTTCTGCCGAATGCAATAGAATTTCAGTTTACCAACTAGCGAATGTAAGAAGAGAATTTTATGATCGCCTGGGTTATTGCCTAGCAGTCGATGGAGGAATATTTGAACATCTTCTTAAATCCTAAAGTTCTAACAATTTAATAGTACCTAAATTAATAAGTTATTGAATATTGTAATAATACTATAATTAACCTTGTAATTGATTACTTTATTTTACTTTAATTCATATTAATTTGTATTTATAAATACATCTTTAAGATTTCGGATGTAGGAATGAGTTTTCAATAATAATAAAGCACTAAATAGGTAAATTTCTGAAATGACAACTTCATTTGACAGTTATCTTTTACCTGGACTGGTGCTCATAAGTAAATACAGGGCCATAAGAAAGGAGAAATATTTAAAAAGAAATCGGCGATAACTCGTAAACGAGCTAATCAAAAATATCTAAGGTTATTCTTTTGAATGTGGGTTTTAGTGCTCTTCAATAAACCTAAATAGAATTATTCTCTAAAATAATCGTTTTTTTTTCGCGAAAAAAAAATTTTGAAAATTCGAAATTTTTGGAAAAAAATTTTGGAAATTTTTTTAGTTTTTAGTTAAAAAACATAATTTCTTGATAATATGGCAACATAGGTATTAAATTAAATTTACAAGAAAGAAAATCCACAAAAAGAACCAGTGGTTCTCAAAATTTCAGCAAAAAAAAATTATTTTGGAAATTTTCATAGGAAAATAACTCCGTTATTTTGGACTTATTTGAAAACCGATAAAGAGAAAATATGTTTCTTTTATCGAGATCTACCACCCCTTAAAATTATTGCATTTATTTCTGGGACACCCTGTTATATTATACATTTTTTAATAGCTTGCGACTTATTCTGAATTATTTAATTTTTAGACTTTTTTAATTCATTTATGCTAAAACATCATAGTTGTCACGAGGAAACAAAAAAACAATATTATTAATCATTAACAAGTAGTTTAGTAATTAGTAACAATTGTTATTATTCATTTATATTAATTAACTTTGCTCAAATAAACTAAAATGCACACAGTCGTGAATTTCTGACTACTGGTATCGACATTCGACATTCGATAAAATTTCATTCGAATCACTAATAAAAGTTCTTGGAAGGAAATTATAATAAATCGAAAGATTATTAAGACTTTAACATCATGTAGCTACAAAACAATGTAGCGTTTTATTTTTCTTTTTATAAAATTCCAAATTTTAATATTGCTGGCGCCATCTATTCGCTAGATGTTAAACTTCATTCAGTACAGGTAGCGGTTCCTTTCCATAAAAACAAATTTCATTCAGTATAGACGATAGAGTTCACTTAATTGCCTTTGGTCATATGACCTGTCAATTCGAGGACCTCCGTTTTGCGAAAAGGAGGAAGGAGGCAGAAAAAGACGCGTGGTTCAGCGTCCGACGAATCTCAGAGAAAAAGGGCTTTCTGAAACACTTTTCCTAACAGTAAAGGCACGGGTATCCAAAGGTGGAGATTTGAAATCCTGTAGAATATACTGTTCAGAGCCTAGTTCGTGTTTTTTGGCCTTTTCCTGGAATATAAGATCACAGTAAGTGTATCTACCATTTTGTATCGCCATGTCTAACTAAATTTTATTTCAGTTATTCCCGTTTTTATTTATTTTGATAATGTTTGATTGTGAATTACTGGTTTGGATCAGCATATAGTTTGGCTATATTTTGGAATGTGTACAGCTGATTTTCAGACCGTAAGTTATTTTTTTTGGTATTCGGTGACTGTTCTGAGAGTTTTTTTTATATAGAGTAACTGGCGTATAAGAAATTGACGTATAAGTAATTGGCATATGAGTAACCACTTTTGAGACAGTATTTATGACTCTACATTTATTCTACTGATATCGAAGACTCCTGCTACTATCGAAGAGTCTACATCCACTTCCGTTAGTCTGGAGACTGCCTGCCTATCTGTTCACTACGTCATAAATTAAAAAAAAAATACAGATAAGTTCTAAGTTCAACACACAAGGTATTCCCTAAATTTTTTTTACTTTGAGATAATATTTTGAATATCTCTGTGAATTGTTGTCATTTATTCCATATATTATAGTCAAAATTTACCTTTTAGTTAACATTATAAGTCATGCTTTGTCCTTAACGGTACGTTTTACTTCAGTATGATCTTTTATGTGAGAATCGCTAACACGGATTCATTTTTGAAGGTTATTGTACACGATTTGTTTCGAAACATCATCGTATTGGTACTTACATAAATTTCACCTGTTTATATATTACGTAGTATAGTATACTGAAGAGAACTTTAACTAAATTTGAGTTTACTTAAAGCAACTAACGATTTCATTGGGATAATTGAAACTGGGTTTAAACTGATTGATAATTGTGTTCGTTTTTAAATAAATGTTCAACGTAGGATAGTTATATCTGATTTTATTCTTGATGAACATAATAGACCCTTATTGCTGTTGATTATTTTATTTTAGCTATTTCATGATCAAATTTTCTTACTGGTTTCTTACTTTACCTTTTCATACCCAAAGTAAGTGGCGCCCTTTTACTGTCTTTGACCATTACTATTTTACTTAACATCAATTTTAGAATCTTTGCAGCCTATACATTATTACTTTTATTTTATTATTTAACAACATTATTAAGTCACCACAGGTCACAAGCCGTACCTACGAACCCAGCTCTCCTCTAACCCTGAGCAACGGATACCTTTTTCTTTCTGTTTGAGTGATGACAGAAAAAGTCGTCACAACAAAGCAGAATCGGACCTATGTTGATATAAAAAATATATCTTATTTTTACGTGAGGAATCTCCCTACAAGATACATATGTTTTTTGAAACACCTTGTATTTTGTGTATTAAGTGCGGATTCTCTGCTTTAAAATTAATGTCGAATGAGCGCGTAATCGCTCTTATCTTATCGGCCATTAAGCTCGGTTAGACATTAGCTCCAAAATGCAGCGTGCATCTGAGTAGAGGACAACAAAGCTATTGAAATCTACTGGTTATTGTTCAACGTAATAATATGTTTATTGATGTAGAGAATTAACGGCATATCTAGATCGCATCTAGGGTTACCCGTGCGCGAAGTTAATTAAAAACTATTGATATGATAATCGAATATTAATTAACGTTTCCCAAAAGTTTTCCCATTTAAATGTAAATTGAGGGAGCTATACAAACTTAATCAAAATGGGCATGTTCCAAAAAATATAAATTCGTAAATAAATCATTGTATTGCATAGATTAAGTCTTCATTACTTACAATACATAGGAAATTAGGAAAAATTCCATGATATCATTTTAGAAATTAAATTATAATTTCAAACTTGGACATTCCCGGTTGAGTTGTGACGTACATAGCCTTCACCAATCACGTTTCAGATCGTAGAAAGGGAAGTTTCATATCATATATTGGTATGACTGATTGCCTGGCTCAGGTGTATCGGGCGCAGCCATTTTGGATTTTGTTATTATTTTTCTTCGTGCTTTTGAGTTCAGCGGTAAATTTTCTTGGTTATAACTTTTAATTTTATCTAAATGGGCTCAAAACTATGAAAAAACTTTTTCGGGTCATTTTCGAAAGGTGACGGAGTATATGGTGGACAGTTTTTATATAGACAATTGAAAATACTTAAGTGCTGATATAAAGAAGTTAAAATATCAAGGTGAGATTTTTTTTCTTGAAGAAGTTATTTAAAAGTAATAAAACCATTGTTTATAGAGCATAGAGTGAATCATAATGATAACAGTTCGATTGGATACGTTCAATAAAAAGAGGGCTTCTGTACAATCAGATAAAAAGTACTCCTGAACATTATGTGACATGGCAATGGTAAAAGTGTACAGAAAGTGGAGGGAACTAAATTTTTAAGCTGTGCAGCTAACACTGGTGATTTTTAAATTATAACTAAATATGTAGGTTTTTATTTATCTATTTATATTTTAATTTTAGGCGGTATGTAAACATTATGTCATACATATAAATAACATCAAGAAAGGTACCACGCTATGATTTATGTAGAATGAGGGAAGATAACATCTTACTTTTTAGCAACTTTTATTGCTATTCTTGTCTTCTCATAATATTTATATTTTATGTTCTTGTAGAGGGTTAATTGTAAATTGACTGCCCTGATATTCAGTAAGTCTTATCACCATCAAAATGAAAATTATTACAATATTGTAATTAAAACATTATTTTATATTTACTTGCCTTTTAATTTAATAAATTTAAAAAATAATAAAATATGTATGTGTAATACACAATGTATGTGTTTCCTTCGAATCTTCCTGATACAATGTATTTTATTAATAGTCTTCTGAAATAATTTAACCATGAACGTATTTATTAACATTCTTGGTACCAATAGAATTTTTATAATTGCCTTGTTCATCTTCTCTAACTTTTCTTGGTCAGATAGTAGACGTCCCAAGAAGCATTTTTTGTTTTATAAGTGTGTTAGGAAACTTCCCAACACACCATATTATACAACCTAAACGCATCTAGAATGGTTGTCGTGAGTTATTGGTAACCATTATATAACACTTATATGCCCTAAACGGTCCATTTTATAACTGTTCCTATGGTAACCCTTAACACTCAAGGTGTGCAACACCTTTATATATCCTATCGAGTTACCGCTATAAAACTGAAAAAGGGTATATAATAGTTATATAGTGGTGTTGAGAAGCTTCCCAGACCTCTATAGAAATATCGCGCATGCGCGTTTTTTTGAATATAAACTTGTTTCTTTCTGACTAACTACTCTAATATTTGCCTCTTTTTTTAACATAAAAATTGTCCTACGCAGATAATCCATACCAGACACAAAAGAGATAAAATGATGCCATCCCTGTCATAGCCTACAAAAGCGTTTGCGTTATGGAAATGACTTTATAGAAATTACTGGCTTAATAAAATCTATTGTGCCTAGCCAGAGTACTAAATACATATGCGATATTAAATTTACTGTGTGAAAATCAATTTTACCTCCAAAAAACACATGCGCTCCCAAAAGCAGAATTATTTAAAAGATTTTTTTATAAACAAAAAAAAATATAGTAACATTTTTGTAATGAAAGTCAAATTTATTAATATAAATAATAGAACATACGACTTTTTTAATACATAGAAATAACTGGCAACTGGCCAAAATATAGTTTTGTACCAGGTTTCAACGTTATCTTAGAAATACTCATTGTAGCCAAAAATGAAGACATCAATAATAATGGCGTCCATTATATTTAAAGTGCTATATATTACTTTAGGGTCTATAACATACTCATCAACCATTATATAAATTTGGTTACTTAAGGTTGCGTAAATGAGTTTGGGCTATTTAAAACACCAATTTTAGTGTTTTATACAAATCACCATTATAAATGCCGGGGTGTTTATGGCTACTTCGTCACCCAGAAAACCTTTATGTAACCCGTCGCGCGTCGTGTCGACTGTAGCGACTCCCTGCGAACGAAGTTTGACATTACAGTAATTTGACAGAAAATGTGCAGAAAACAAAATATAACCTCATAAAATTGAAATAATACTGTTTTGGTTTTGGTTCAATTTGATATAACAATGTTTTATACAACTAAAGGTGATACAAATCACCGTTATAAATGCCGGGGTGTTTATGGCTACTTCGTCACCCAGAAAACCTTTATGTAACCCGTCGTGTCGACTGTAGCGACTCCCTGCGAACGAAGTTTGACATTACAGTAATTTGACAGAAAATGTGCAGAAAACAAAACATAACCTCATAAAATTGAAATAATACTGTTTTGGTTTTGGTTCAATTTGATCTATATTTAAGGTGGTAGGAGTTTGCAAAAGAGTTCTAGGGTCCTTTGGTACTTTGGTAGAACAGTTATGAATGAATTTACTATACAAAAAAGCTCTTTAAGTGCAGAATGTGTAATGTTAAAGCGCAGAGCTTATTCTCTTATGTTAGAACGAAGTCTTTCCTCCTTACCACATTCATTAATAGAGGCTTCTTCTTCTCTCAACCTTAACCAGACATCTTCCTGTTCCTGATCGTTTTGGCAACTTTCTGTTGGAAATATCTCAGGTTGATCCTGATCTCTGCTTGTGGATGGTAAATTTCCATGTTGGCTTTCAATATTGGCAGATGTAGTTTGAATGAGGTTTGGATTATTCCTATTTTTTTTTTTTTAAATTCTGAAGAACTTTTCTTTTGAACGTAGATTGTGTTTTATCCAGTTTATTTTTTATTATTCATTATTAAATCGAATTGCTTGCTTGCTAATATATAATTTGTTTTGATTATATTAAAAAATTGAGGTTAACTTCAGGTTATATAAAGCATACAAACATTTGAAAGGTGCAAAAAACGATTTGAGGGAACAATTATATAACTTGTAGTATTATTGGTTACATAATGGTTCCCAATAACACCTTTAATTATATAGTGTATATCTTGCGTACCTTTATAAAACCTAATACCAGAAGTAATATAAAATAGATGTAAACATCTTTATAAAACCTTACTATGAAACCTTTAGTAACAAGAACCTGTAGTGTTATAAGGAAAGTGATAAACAACATTTCAAGGTTACTATTAGTGATAAGTAGCCAACTCTACACTTATATAAATAAAAACACTGTAAGATACCAATGAGACATCTATTAAACCTTTATATAACTAACCTTGAGAATATATAACCTAAAGGAACTTAAAATGTTACTTGGGGTACTTTCCATGATCACATTGTAGCGTACCTGTTTTATACCATAACTGTGAATACTGCGATTTTCCGGAAATACTATGAATCTTAGTTATCAGGAATTACATTTTTTTCAAATTAATTTTTCCTCGCCTTCTTCCACATGTAAAAAACAGGCCATTAATGATTTAACAAATCAAACATGATATAAACCCACTTTGAAATGTTTTGAAATCACATTCATAGCTTAAAAGAAGTTTTCTGAAAAAAACAGCATTTACGATTTTCAATCTTTTTTCGGCGCGTACAAAAACATTTTATTATAGGTACTGGTAAATGTTATCCAACAATGGAACATTTAATTTTTTCGCATTACTGGAAATAGTTTAAATGCAAATTTAATTTAAAATCAAAAATAAAATAAAACAATAACATAATAAGTACCCCTAAACAATGTCATTTTGACATTGAATAAACAGCAATGCTGCCAACATCATAAAATTCACCAAGTTTATTTCGAGACAAAAACCAGCCAATTATATTGGTGAAACTTTTACCCCATTTTTTGGCATAATATTAAGTTTTATATAAAAAAGGCTAAGTAGCAAGCACTAATTAGGTTGAAGTCTGCATAATTACGTGGAAATTGAAAAACATGAAACATGCCCATTATACATAGAACGGGTACAATTAACTATGATATAAACAACGCATCCAATAATATGGACTTTTGTATTAAGCCAATACAGTTCAAACCAAATAGACGTTTAGTCACGTCACTATGCTTGACCGGCACCTCCCACTTTTATATATTTTCTTTCAATCAAAATATTTTAGGAAACAAAAATAAATTAATTATAAATATATCAACAGTTATTATTTACATTAACAAAACTCACCTTTTTAACAGCACTTACGGGGCATAAAGGACCATTACTACCGCTTTCCCGTTTAAAATATTCTAAGAAAGTTGCGAACAGTTTTTTACGGTTATTAAGCTATCTTGTACCACTTCGCACTAAAAGAGGTTTTAAAAAGAACAATGTTCGACTGTAAAGTAACAATGAAAAAATCAATTAAACATTTAACTGTAGAGAATAGACAATTAAAATTAAAAAACATGCCAGGAGTTACAAACAAGAATTAAAGAAATACCCAATAAAATATCTATTGAACAATCTAAAGAGGCTACGTACAAATTATGTCCATCAATGGACATAGCAAATTTTGTTAATATTCATCATAATATAATAATATCATCAAGTGCAATTTATTTTATAATAGTGGTCGTGATAATATTGTAGGTTTTGAGGACGAGAAGGGGAACAGAGAGTTTAAACCAGCTCGGGTGTCTAATGTTGTTATGGTAAGAGGTATCTCTACCAATGGAAAACAGTCCCTAGCTTATTTTACAAGCTTTTATTTAACTTGCTTTGTATGTATGTTTGTTCGGCGCAAATCTTTAGAAGCACATCCTTTCATTGTAGGAAATTGCAATTTGGCATGTAGGTTCAGTCCCGATGACAATACATTTTCTTGCAAGGCATGACCCGAATGTCAAAAAACGGCTGTGAAAAAATTTCAAAGTTGTCCGATTTTGATAAAAATCGATATATTGGATGCTCCCTACCCCGTAGTCGTCATATACATATGAAATATATACGGATTATCGTCTATCCCTGCTATGTGTTGGAGTTGAAGCCGAGTTAGAGACAACTAGATAACCGGTCCATGTATATTTCACATAAGTTCGTCTGTTAGGCAGACACTGGCGCAACAGCGCAACTCCAAAATTCCGAATATCGATTAGCCCTTATTCTGAAGATTAGCCAATTGTCGAACAGGAACGCAAACGAAAGCCGTACGAAGTTGGACGGAGCCGTACGAATGAACAGCTGGTGCTAGCGTCTAGTCTCTTATTGGTCTGGTTATCCGATCGATAATTCAAAATTCAGACTTGCGCACTACGCTTGAGCACAGCTAACTAAGCGACTTATGCAAATTCCTTCAGAATATTTATATACCCATTTCACCGGCTTGGCATCACAGAATTCAGTTTGGAGTCGATATTCTTTAGTTAATATACAGGGTGGTCCGAATTGTATTCCGGAAACTTCGACAGCATATTCTGCAGATAAAAATAAGTTTCATTTTTATTTCGATTTTTTCCTAATAATTTCTGAAGCAACGTCAATATTTGGATGAAAATTGGTGGATGGGTGTTTTTTGACATGAGAAATTTGATTTTGATGTCAATATGACTCCCATTTGTAGGTGGCGCCACCTACATGTATTTTAACTGTTTTGAAGAGTAATAACTTTTCGTCGGTACCTGTATAAAACTACTGAGTAAAAAAATATACATTTATGACTTTTTTACATAAAAAAGGTCTCTTGGTAAAAATCGCTACGAGTAATGGTTCTCGAGATATTTGGAATCGAAATTATCAATACCTGTCATCATTGACATTAATTAAAGATGTTGACTAAATAGTAATTAGATTGAAATCATAAATTTGAAATCTTTTTGTGTCAAAAGTTTAAAAGAAACTGTTTAATCATTATTTTTTCACAGAAAAACTTATGATTAATTTAAAAAATAAAAATTTATTATTTCAGTCAAATAACTATACTCAACGTGCGCTTATTTTTTGTCAATAATGACATGTATTTCTATTCTAAATATCTTGAGAACGGTTGCTCGTAACGATTTTTACCAAGAGACATTCTTTACATAAAAAGTCATGGAAATGTATATTTTTTTAGTCAGTGGTTTTAGACAGGTACGGTCGAAAAGTTATTACTCTTCAAAACAGTTAAAACACATGTAGGTGGCGCCCCCTACAAATAGGAGTAATTTTGACATCAAAATCAAATTTCTCGTGTCACAAAACTCCCAGATACCAATTTTCATCCAAATATTGACGTTACTTCAGAAATTATTTGGAAAAAATCGAAATAATAA